ATTACATTCATGAATATCAAGGTCTACTCTGCATATTCAACCCTTTTTAATATTTTCCTTCCTTATCAGTGTTTTTATGAGGGGGATTGTTTGTGTGTTAGGGTTTTTTTTAATTTAAGTTTAGTTTGGGGGTATTTTGCTATCATTTAAAAGTAAATTGCAAACAGTAGACCATTTGCGGCCTTAATACATTAGTATGTTTTATGTTGTTGTTATTTTTTTAAAAAAGTATTTATGGAGCTAGCAAGAAGCATGGTGGTTAAGGGTGCTGGGCTCCCACGTGGCTTACTTACAGCGCGGTTTATGTCCCAGACTGGCGGCTTGCTTTCTCACTTTCCCTCTCTCTCTCTCTCACTCTGTCCCTCTCTGATCAAATTAAAATAAATAAATAAAAAGTTAAATAAAGAACAATTCTTTAAAAAATATATTTATTTATTGTTATTCTTAATTCAACCAGAGAGAGAGAGAGAGAAAGGGAGAATGAGAAGGCAAGCCGCCAGGTCCAGGACTCAAACCACCATGTGGGAGTCCACCTTAAATACCACACCACCTGCCAGCCCCAGTATGTATTTTCTTTATAATAAATTGCCATTATCAGATATGTTTGTTAGCTTATTCCTTTCTACCTGTGTACATCACTGGGAAAGCATCTTTTTTTTTATTTTATTTTTTTGGAGAGGTTTTTGCTATAGGGTGTGTATGCTTGCCAGATAGAGAGAGACAGAGAGACAGAAAGCAAGAAATCACCCCCCAGGGGGGATGGCCACGCCACAATCCCTTCTCCTCCATTCTCCTCTTGGGATTTTGGGCACGCACACACATGCACCCGGCGTGAGTTTAAGCCACCGGGTCCGGGACTCGAACCATGGTCAACTACGTGGGAGTCCAGTGACATAGCCATTACACTAACTGCTGGTCCCAGGAAAGTATCTTTGAAATCTCTGTTCCCACTGCCATCATGTCTAAGTCAGAGTTTCCTAAAGAGCCAGAACAGCTACAGAAACTCTTTATCAGAGGGTTGAGCTTTGAAGCAACCAATGAGAGCCTGAGGAGCCATTTTGAGCAATGGGGGATGCTCACGAACAGTGTGGTAATGTGAAACCCAAACATAAAGCACTCCAGAGGCTTTGGGTTTGTCACATACGCTGTGTGGAGGCGGTAGGTGCAGTCATGAATGCAAGGCCACACGGGTGGGTGGAAGAGCTGGGGAACCAATGAGGGCTGTCTCAAGAGAAGATTCTCAAAGACCAGATACCCACTTAACCATGAAAAAGATCATTGTCGGTGGCATTAAAGAAGACACTGAAGAACATCACCTAAGAGATTATTTTAAACAGTAGGGGACAAGTGAAGTGATTGAAATCATGACTGACTGAGGCAGTGGCAAGAAGAGGGGCTTTGCATTTGTAACCTTTGACGATCATGACTCTGTGGATAAGACTGTCATTCAGAACCATACTATGAATGGCCACAACTGTGAAGTAAGGAAAGCCCTGTCGAAGCAAGAGATGCCTAGTGCTTCCTCTAGCCTGAGAGGTCAAAGTGGTTCTGGAAACTTCGGTGGTGGTCGAGGAGGTGGTTTTGATGGTAATGACAACTTTGGTCATGGAGGAAACTTCAGTGGTCGTGATGGCTTTGGTGCCAGCCATGGTGGTGGTGGATACGATGGAAGTGAGGATAACTATAAAAGATTTGGTAATGATAGTGGTTATGGAGGTGTCCCTGGTTACTCTGGAGGAAGCAGAGGCTATGGAAGTGGTGGGCAGGATTATGGAAACCAGGGCAGTGGCTATGGTGGGAGTGGCAGCTATGATAACTATAACAATGGAGGAGGTGGGAGCGGCTTCAGCAGTGGTAGTGGAAGCAATTTTGGAGGTGATGGAAGCTACAATGATTCTGGCAATTACAACAATCAAGCCTTCAAATTTTGGACCTGTGAAGGGTGGAAACTTTGGAGGCAGAAGCTCTGTCCCTTATGGTGGCGGAGGCCAATACTTTGCCAAACCATGAAATCAGGGTGGCTCTGGCCGCTCTAGCAGCAGCAGTAGCTATGGCAGTGGCAGGTTTTAACTAACTGCCGGGAAACAAAGCTTAGCAGAGAGGAGAACCAGAGAAGTGACAGTGAAGCTGCAGGTCACAACAGAGCTGTGAACTCCCCCCAGGCACAGTGGTGGCAGGACCTAGCTGCTATGGGAAAAACATGTTTTAGAAAATACTCATGTGTATGGGCAAAAACCATGAGGACTGTATCTGCGCCTAATTGTATAACAGGTTATTTTAGTTTCTATTCCGTGGAAAGTGTAAAGCATTCTAACAAAATGTTTTAATGTAGATTGTTTTTTTGCACCCTTGCTGTTGGTTGCTAAATGTAATAATAGTCTAATCATGATGCTGAGTAAATGTCTCTCTCTCTCTCTCTCTCTCTATATATATATATATATATGTACATATATATAGCCATTATCCACCTTTAAAAAATTAATAATTTCCAAATCCCATCCAATACCCAATTTGTATTTAAACTTTTTCTACTGTGATAAAATTACTTTTATACTATTTTGCTTGAAGAATTTCTCATTTTGGGGACCAGTAGTTAGCATAATGGCTATGTCACTGGACTCCCACGTAGTCGACCGCGGTTCAAGTCCTGGACCCAGTGGCGGGGGGGTGCGTGCGTGCCCAAGATCCCAAGAGGAGAATGGAGGAGGAGGGGTTGCAGCGTGGCCATCCCCCCTGGGGGGTGATTTCTCGCTTTCTATCTCTCTGTCTCTCTCTGTCTTTCTGGTGAGCACATGCACCCTATAGCAAAAACCTAAAAAAAGAATTTCTCATTTTGTTGTTTATCCCAAAGAAAAAGCCAAAGTATAGTCTTAACATTTGATGGGTACATCTATATGATATCTTTCAATTAGAACAATTTTCTCAGCTTGTTTTTTTTGTTTGTTTGTTTTCATGATGATGACTTTTGTTAGAACCGGGGCCAATGCTCTTGAACAATATTCCATGTTCTGGTTTGTCTGTTTTTGCATGTATATCATTTATCTTGTTTCTTCATCCCCTTTAGCGAAAAAATAAACATAAAAAACTGGAAGCTGATTCCAAAGACCTGGTTGGAAACAGGTGGCTTACTTTTTCTAGAACATCCTAAAGGTGATACCCTGTGTTTTGTATCAGGAAGAGCATATGATAGCCCCACTATTAGCATTACTAGGTTTGGTCACTTGATGAAGATGGTGGTAGTTAGATCTCCCAGTGTTAAAGTGTATTTTTCCCCTTTAGCAATTAGAACTAATTAGCATTATTATTTGGCTTATATGAATATCCTTCTCTCAATCTTTTATTTAATGGCATTAGCCTCCATTGATGGGCTTTGCTTAAATCAGTTATTTCATTTGAGGTTGCAAATTGGTAATTGTTAAATACCATTATTCATTTCACATGTATCAACTAGCATTCCTCTATGGAGAAGAGCTTTCACTCAATGGGGAATACTTTTATCTTTTTACATTTTATATCAGTACAACATGTTTCCCATCAATCAGTTATCTAAAATATCAGCCTTAGATTATGAAACTGAATTGTAGATCGGCTATAATTTATATATTGTATATACGCTTTAAGCATTTTGATATACATTAAGGCCAGATGTAGAAAACGGATGAAATTTAAAGCAGTGTTTCAAAATGGCAAGCCAATAAAAGAGGCTTGGTGAAAAGAGATTTTAACAATTCACTAGGAAAATCAGCAAATACATTTAAATCTTAAATAAAATGTTAAGGCCTGGTGCTAAAACAGCTTACTGTATGGTTGTATCCCAGAAAACTAATGATATGTACAGTTAATGTGGGTAAATACTTAGGCCTGACAAGAAGGAAATGAAGACAAATAATTTGGACTGTCACCCTCTTGCTCCAGCTTTGGTAGACTTTCAGCTCCACTTCCACTTCTCCATTACTCCTTTATGTGCTCTGGTCATTGCATCTCCCTACAAAGCACATGGGCACCCTTATCTTTGCATCTTTGTCCCTGCTGTCACCCTTGCCCAAGACACTCTTCTTGCCTGTCATTGAGTCCTAGTTGCCCACTTTCCCATCCCAGCTTAAATCCCACTCCCTCTATGAAGCTGCTCATTCCTTGACCTCTACAGACAGCGCTTCCCACCTCTGTCACCTCTCTGGTACCTGCTTTGGTTTCTCGCTTGGCCTCTTAACTGGCTTCTGTAAATATGCCTGGTCTCCAAACTGGTGAAGATCCTTGAGGACATGTCCGTTTCTAACCAAAGCTTAACAGCTCTTTTTAGATGATGTTACTGAATTTCCCTTTGAGATTCCTCTTTAGGGATTCTTTCTGCATTCCCCTTTGAGATTCTTTCTGCATTCCCCTCTGAGATTCTTTCTGAAAGTTATCAACAAATACGAAACTGTTATCATCAGGGCTATCTCCTTTGAATAGACTTCTTTGCCTTCTAATATCTGTCACTCTACAAAAACAGATTTTTATGTGAAAGTTAAGGCTGGAATTCAAGGATTGATTACTCACCATCTGTTCTTTGTAAATAGTGTGGAGTCCTAGTGCTTTTACTATGACAAAAAGAAAGGGGGAAAAGAGATTGGCATACATTAATCTGACATTTAAATATTACAATGAATACAAGAAGCTAGGTATAATTTAACCTGGCATTTAAATATTACAATGAAAACAAAGCTTATTTTATTTTCCTAAGTTTGAATATTTTTTCTTATGTTAACAATTTGAACACTGTTTTATATGAAAATAAAACAATGGTATTTTGTGCTTCTCAAAGTCTTTTTAGAAAATGTTCATCCCACTCCACAAGACATTGTTTAAAGTGTTTTCAATACCTTTTCTCTCTGTCTCCTAATAAGGACACTTTGTTTTTTGCAGATCTTTTCATCGGAAAGTCTGAGAGCTTGGCTGATCGCGTGGATACTGGGTAGTGATAACGAAACTGTCACACCTTTTGTTTTTTGTGTTTGCAGAAGCAGGAGGTAAAAAACTGCGGAGCACTGTCCAGAGAAGCACAGAAACAGGTCTGGCGGTGGAGATGAGGAACTGGATGACCCGGCAGGCGAGCAGGGAATCGACAGATGGCAGCATGAACAGCTATAGTTCAGAAGGAAAGTGAGTGAGGCCAGCCAGCATGCACTTCTCTGCCACGCCGTGTCACAGACCGTCCCCTCTATCTCTCTTTGCTTCCACAAAGACTAACTCACACATACGACAGCACCATTTTAATTGTCACTGGCAGATGTCCTGTGAAGAGAACTTTGCTCACCTACCACTGCAGTGTGGCATATCTGGCTTTTTATAGCTAGAGAAATAGGTCTGGGGATAAAGTGTTTGCTTCAGTGGTGAGATGTTACAACGTGATTCTCAGAATACATGCAAATACAGTCTATTGCCCCAGCTTGAAAATATAAAAGGACGAAAATGATAAATACTCATGTTCTATGCTGTACATAATACTAATTTTTGAAGCCATTGCTCTAAGAGTTATTACTTAAAAATTCAGAATGCCGGGACCAGCAGTTGGCGTAATGGCTATGTCGCTGGACTCCCACGTAGTTGACTGCAGTTCGAGTCCTGGACCCAGTGGCTTAAAACTCACGCCGGGCATGTGTGCGTGCGTGCCCAAGATCCCAAGAGGAGAATGGAGGAGAAGGGATTGCAGTGTGGCCATCCCCCCTGGGGGTGATTTCTCGCTTTCTGTCTGTCTGGCAAGCGCATGCGTCCTATAGCAAAAAACTTTCAAAAAAAAAAAAAAAAAGAAAAGAAAAAAATTCAGAATGCCAATATGTACTTAGTTCCAGGCAGTGACACACAATTATAAGTATTTAATAATTCTCTTAATTATATAACTTAGTTATAACCTAATTTTATTAACTCTAATAGCCAAAAAGAAATGCCACAGAAAGTTGGTGAGCCTTTTTTTTTAAATGTAGCTACCTTGTAGCTTTCCTTTGGATCAGCTGAGTCTGAAATATTTGTTGAGCATTTGTAAAGTCATTTAGTCTTGTCACCAATTAATTAACAGTAATAGCAACTACAGCTCTGTAAATGGGGCTGTGGAGAACACTAGTAGAGGAAAGTGGGGTTGACTGACCCCACTCAGTGTTCACCATGGAAGCATTAAAAGTCTAGCCACCACATGTAGCCAGTTCACTGATGTAAGGCCATCGGAGCTGTTGGAATAATATTAATGATACGCCCTAGAGAAATTTTCTGACGTGATTATGTAACTATAAGAGAGCTATATGATTTCTATACACTTATAAATAGGGCTGTATGGGAAACAGGTTGAAACATTTCTATTAACTACATATGTGGGAATTGAGGTTAGGGAGAGAAATAGATTCGATGTTCATCAAGGAGGTCTGAAAAGGATGGAGAATCAATGGAAAAATGAATGTGCACTTAACACTGACCACTGCAAGGCACTGTATTAGAGACTACTAGGGATATAAAATATTTAAACTGTGGCCCCCGTCCAGATGTTTATAGTCTTACTGGAAAAATGGAATGGATACTTACACATTTATTCAACAAATATTAGTATCCTTTCCAGTGTTCTAGTCACTGTGCCATGATTTGGGGACAGAAGTCATAGAGAAGAGTTAGTACCTGGTCGAGACCAGGGCTTCTGAATCATAGGGACTAGGTTCTCATGTGTTTGCGTGTTTGTTTTTCTCCTCTAGAACCTTGGGTAAGATATTTAATTTTTTTCTAAGTTTTAAGTGATTGAACTTAACAGGTTTTTATTAAGTGCTTACAATATTTCAGGCGCAGTTCCAGGTGATAGAGAGACAGCAATAAGTAAAATAGACAAAAACCTCGAAAGTCTAAAAGGGAAGACAGACAATAAATAAGGAGTGTTAAATTTAAATACAAGACAGAACAGCAGATGGCGTAATGGTTACGTCTTTGGACTCCCATGTAGTTGACCGCAGTTTGAGTCCCAAACCGAGCAGCTTAAAACTCATACCGGTGTGTGTACATGCATGCCCAGAATCCTGAGGAGAATGGAGAAGGGATTGTGGTGTGGCCATTCCCCCGAGGAGTAAATTCTCATTTCCTATCTCTCTCTCTCTCTCTCTCTCTCTCTCTCTGGTGAGTGCACACGATCGCGTGGATACTGGGTAGTGATAACGAAACTGTCACACCTTTTGTTTTTTGTGTTTGCAGAAGCAGGAGGTAAAAAACTGCGGAGCACTGTCCAGAGAAGCACAGAAACAGGTCTGGCGGTGGAGATGAGGAACTGGATGACCCGGCAGGCGAGCAGGGAATCGACAGATGGCAGCATGAACAGCTATAGTTCAGAAGGAAAGTGAGTGAGGCCAGCCAGCATGCACTTCTCTGCCACGCCGTGTCACAGACCGTCCCCTCTATCTCTCTTTGCTTCCACAAAGACTAACTCACACATACGACAGCACCATTTTAATTGTCACTGGCAGATGTCCTGTGAAGAGAACTTTGCTCACCTACCACTGCAGTGTGGCATATCTGGCTTTTTATAGCTAGAGAAATAGGTCTGGGGATAAAGTGTTTGCTTCAGTGGTGAGATGTTACAACGTGATTCTCAGAATACATGCAAATACAGTCTATTGCCCCAGCTTGAAAATATAAAAGGACGAAAATGATAAATACTCATGTTCTATGCTGTACATAATACTAATTTTTGAAGCCATTGCTCTAAGAGTTATTACTTAAAAATTCAGAATGCCGGGACCAGCAGTTGGCGTAATGGCTATGTCGCTGGACTCCCACGTAGTTGACTGCAGTTCGAGTCCTGGACCCAGTGGCTTAAAACTCACGCCGGGCATGTGTGCGTGCGTGCCCAAGATCCCAAGAGGAGAATGGAGGAGAAGGGATTGCAGTGTGGCCATCCCCCCTGGGGGTGATTTCTCGCTTTCTGTCTGTCTGGCAAGCGCATGCGTCCTATAGCAAAAAACTTTCAAAAAAAAAAAAAAAAAGAAAAGAAAAAAATTCAGAATGCCAATATGTACTTAGTTCCAGGCAGTGACACACAATTATAAGTATTTAATAATTCTCTTAATTATATAACTTAGTTATAACCTAATTTTATTAACTCTAATAGCCAAAAAGAAATGCCACAGAAAGTTGGTGAGCCTTTTTTTTTAAATGTAGCTACCTTGTAGCTTTCCTTTGGATCAGCTGAGTCTGAAATATTTGTTGAGCATTTGTAAAGTCATTTAGTCTTGTCACCAATTAATTAACAGTAATAGCAACTACAGCTCTGTAAATGGGGCTGTGGAGAACACTAGTAGAGGAAAGTGGGGTTGACTGACCCCACTCAGTGTTCACCATGGAAGCATTAAAAGTCTAGCCACCACATGTAGCCAGTTCACTGATGTAAGGCCATCGGAGCTGTTGGAATAATATTAATGATACGCCCTAGAGAAATTTTCTGACGTGATTATGTAACTATAAGAGAGCTATATGATTTCTATACACTTATAAATAGGGCTGTATGGGAAACAGGTTGAAACATTTCTATTAACTACATATGTGGGAATTGAGGTTAGGGAGAGAAATAGATTCGATGTTCATCAAGGAGGTCTGAAAAGGATGGAGAATCAATGGAAAAATGAATGTGCACTTAACACTGACCACTGCAAGGCACTGTATTAGAGACTACTAGGGATATAAAATATTTAAACTGTGGCCCCCGTCCAGATGTTTATAGTCTTACTGGAAAAATGGAATGGATACTTACACATTTATTCAACAAATATTAGTATCCTTTCCAGTGTTCTAGTCACTGTGCCATGATTTGGGGACAGAAGTCATAGAGAAGAGGTAGTACCTGGTCGAGACCAGGGCTTCTGAATCATAGGGACTAGGTTCTCATGTGTTTGCGTGTTTGTTTTTCTCCTCTAGAACCTTGGGTAAGATATTTAATTTTTTTCTAAGTTTTAAGTGATTGAACTTAACAGGTTTTTATTAAGTGCTTACAATATTTCAGGCGCAGTTCCAGGTGATAGAGAGACAGCAATAAGTAAAATAGACAAAAACCTCGAAAGTCTAAAAGGGAAGACAGACAATAAATAAGGAGTGTTAAATTTAAATACAAGACAGAACAGCAGATGGCGTAATGGTTACGTCTTTGGACTCCCATGTAGTTGACCGCAGTTTGAGTCCCAAACCGAGCAGCTTAAAACTCATACCGGTGTGTGTACATGCATGCCCAGAATCCTGAGGAGAATGGAGAAGGGATTGTGGTGTGGCCATTCCCCCGAGGAGTAAATTCTCATTTCCTATCTCTCTCTCTCTCTCTCTCTCTCTCTCTCTGGTGAGTGCACACACCCTGTAGCAAAAATCTCTCTCAAAAAAAAAAATACAAGAGAAATTAATAATATACATGGTAACATGGTACATTAGGAATGTAAGTACTAAGGAGAAAAACCAAGAAGGGAGAAGAAAAGGGTGGATGTGAGGTTTTTTATAGAGTAGACGGAAAAAGGACACATCTGAGTACAGACTGGAAGTTAGTGAGCAGATGAAAACTGAGGGCAGTACCTTCCAGGCCGAGGCAGTGCTGAGGCCCTGAGGCAGGAGCTTGCCTGGCCGCAGTGAGGAGGGCAGCAGCGTTGAGTAAGGATGGGCGTGGTAGCACACAGGAATTAAGGGATGGGGTTGGGGCCGGATCACTTACACAGTCTTTACATGTAGTAAGGACTTTGCTTTTACTCTCAGCGGATAAGAATTCATCAGAGGGTTTTGAATAGAGGCCTGACATAACCTGACTCCAGTTTTTGTGTGTAAGTCTCACCGCTGTCAGGGTGGAGGTGGTGGGGAGACAGCAAGGGCAGCAGAGGGGGCCGTTCAGAAGGCTGTTGCAGTAATCCAGAGACAGAGAATAGCTTGAATCAGCAGTAGTGTTAATGAGATCAGAGTCTGGATGTATTTTGACAGTAGAGCAATTAAGATTTATTGATGCATTTGATGTGGGTAATTGGAGAAATAAAGGCTGCTGTAATGAAATACCACAGACGGGGTGGCTTAAACAACAGAAATTCCTATTTCTCAGATACTGAAGACTAGTAGTCCAAGATCAAGGTGTTAAGAGATTTGGTTTCTCCTGAAGCCTTTCTCTTTGGTTTGCAAATGCCCACTTTCTTATTGTCTTCTCATGGCCTTTTCTCTTTAAGCCCTGGTGTCCCTTATGTGAACACCAGTCATATTGAATCAGGGCCCCATCCTTATGTCTTCACTTAACCTTATATCTTTAAGGGCCCCATCTCCAGGTACAATCATATTGGGGGTGAGAACTTCAGCATATGAATTTGGAGGAAGGGACAGAACTCAGTCTATAGGAAGATAGGAGGATGAGAGAGGAAGGTGACTCCAAGGTTGAGCCATTGGAGCCATGAAGTTGCTGTTTTATTAAGGGAACGTGGGAGGAACTGTTTGTTTTTGGTTTCTGTGTGGGGTGAGAGTATAGGGGCTAGCTGTGAACAAATATGGGACTCCTCTTAGACATCCCAGTAAAAAGTACACCAAGGAGTTAGAATACAGACCCATGGCCCAAAGGAGAAGTCCAGAGCTAGAGATGTCAGTCTAGGGAGTAACAGAATAGATGGTGTTTAAAACGGTGAGACCAGGTGAGATTGCCAAGGGCATTTAGACATACGGAAAATAGATCAGAGGACCGAGCTTCCGTATTTAGTGGCAGAACTAGCAACAGAGATTAAGGCATAGATGCAGCATTGAAAAGAAGAAAGTCAGGAGACTAGAGGGCCCGGGAAACAAAGCAGAGAACATGTGTCAAGGAACAGGGGTGATCCCTTGTGTCATTACCGCTAATACATTAGGTTAGATGAGCACTGAATTTTAACAGTTGGTTTACTGCTGTGGCCATTAGGTAACTTGGATCCGATAAATTTTGATAGAGTAGTAAAAAATGAAAACTGGTTAGAGTTGGAAAAAGAATGAGAGGAAAGAAATTGAAGATGGTACGTAGAGACAACTTTTCTAAGGGTTTTAAGGACAGAAATGGGATGATAGATGGAGAGGGAAATTGGGTCAGGAAAGGGGATTTTTAAGGTAGAAGAAATAACAGCATAGTTAGATGCTGATGGAAATGGTCCAAAAGAGTTTCTTCATCTATAAAATGGATAAAAAATAAAATCTCTCTCAGTGCTGCTAAGAGGATTAAATATGCTAAAGCTTTTAAGGGAATAAGTGTTCATGATGTACTGAGTGTCACTGACAGAATTCACAGTGTCTGCCCTCCAGGCCAAGGAAGAGAAAGATACATAAACAGAAGCAGCAATGTACTGTGAGAGATGCTCCTGGAGGCTGCTTGACAACCTGGAGGGGCCAGGGGAGGTGGGGTGGGGTACTGGGGTCCAATAAATCTAAGTGGCAAAATATTGGGTCATCAGAAAAGTCATGATGCATTTTTGCATAGAAAAGCACAGATAGTGGTACCAATCTCCTGCCACATTAAGGAGGCTTGAGGGAAACCCAGGTTTGCCTGAAAGTAAACAGGATGGAGGGTTTAAACCCATATGTTATTTTGGTTTCAGTCTGATTTTCCCTGGTGTCCGCCTGGCCTCTGATAGCCAGTTCAGCGATTTCCTGGATGGCCTTGGCCCTGCTCAGCTGGTGGGACGCCAGACTCTGGCTACACCTGCGATGGGTAAGAATCCGTGTCTCGTGAGTTCACTGTTTTTCTTTTGGATGATTTAAAATTACATTCTCTAGATTTCATAGAATCTTTAACAGTTTTATCAACAAGAATAAAGTATCTGAGATTTTAATAATAAAATAAACTTCAACTTTTTTGTATTTTAACTTCTAATGCTTTTTAAAGCAAGACATTATTGATGAAATTTTAGATATAGTTGCCTTAAAAAAATATGATGGTACTTTAAGGAAAATATGGCCACATTTAAGGAAATGAGATTAAGTTAAAGTCTTTGGCACAGGCATTTTTCTCACTTTATTTGGATATTAAGGCATGTTTCTTTCTTCCCACACACCGTTAGGTGACATTCAGGTAGGAATGATGGACAAAAAGGGACAGTTGGAAGTGGAAATCATTCGGGCCCGTGGCCTTGTTGTAAAACCAGGTTCCAAGACACTGCCAGGTAAAAACAGAACTGCCTCTTCTATTACTGTCTGTAATCCATATTGTTTCAATATGAAGACTTTTTCTATTAGATGCCAAACTTTGGAGTTTAGGTACTCACAGATGGTGATGGACGAGTCACTCACCTGACTGGGTTGGGAGCTGTCATAGTCTGTGTGCTTTCCTGAATGAGCATCCTATGAGAGTGATCTGGCAGAGATCATATAAATTGTTAGATAAATACATAAGTAAATAAAACTACTGCAAAACAAAAACAACCACATTTAGATAATTTATTTTCCCAGCATGTAAATATAAGAAGTTCTTTTGGCTTGTTAGCTGGTATTTCATGTTATTCTTTATGTGGAGTTTCAAAATTCTCCTTAGGAATTCTTAGAGCTCTGGAATTAAAACAAAAATAGATACAGACCCCACAGAAACATATTCTAATTATAAGACTTTTAGTTCCTGTAGTATAAAAAGAAAGAGAGACTCTATTAGAACTTTTTATGCCACATAGCTCATACCGAAATGTCATTATAAGAAGGTGCTTGGAGCCATGAAAAATGCCATAATGACTCCAAATGCATTGTGCTGAGGTAGTTTGATATATAAAATAATTGCTGAGGATTCTGAAACTTGGCTTCTAGCCTCATCACCTCCACTACTGACTTGTATAACTTTAAATTTCTTAACTTCTCTATCCTTGCAGAAATGTTAAATGATAACATCTATTACCTATTGCACAAACTTGCAGTAGTGATGAAGACAATTGTGTTTATGAAAGTCTTGGAGCTTGTCAACTCACTCCACTTATAAAAATAAAATCATGATTTGTACATGCACGAAACAGTTTTTATGAAGTGCCTGTCAAATTTTAAGCCTTAGAATTTGTAATTAATGACCTCTTTCCAGCTAATTTGGACATGTCACATCAAATCCCACCCCTGTCCTGTACCCACATTACCACCAATACATAAATGCTTTTGAATGATAATGAGTGAATGATTTATGGGGATTGGTAAGTAAGACAATATATTTCAAGCAGTTTAATTAGATTTAAGTATTCATAAAGACTTAGACGTCTAAGTGATGTAGTACCTAACTTTCTAAGATACCACTCTTGAATGTGTTAGGTACTACAAGCATTTCACTATCTGGTGCAATGTTTAAATTTGTACAACCAATTGATGGCAAAATACTAATATGCTCAGAGGCTATGTCAATCCCCTCAAACTCTCTGAACAGCTGACCATGGTCCATTATTTATCTAATGATTTTGACATAACATGGCAAGGCCAGTGACTCGCTTGCTAGTCTTCCTAGCTGAAGATTAAGCTGCTGCAGATACACCCCGCGTGGGCATTCCATCGCCAGGGCTCGTCATTCTCTCCTCTATGTTTTTTCCCCAAGCACCGTATGTAAAGGTGTATCTGTTAGATAACGGAGTCTGCATAGCCAAAAAGAAGACGAAAGTGGCAAGAAAAACGCTGGAACCCCTTTACCAGCAGCTATTGTCTTTTGAAGAGAGTCCCCAAGGAAAAGTTTTACAGGTATTTACTTGCTTATCTTTTAGGACATTTTCATGTAGTCGTCCTTGTATGCAATTATCTTTTTTATCACATTCTTTTATATTTCACACAACTGAAATTCTTGGGAAATTTCAAAGCAGTGGTCAAATGCTATAAAGCTATACACATTGTTTCCTTGTTTCCTTGAAAGTGAATTTAAAATGGGGCGGGGCAGGGCCGTTAGGTGGCACAGTGGTTACAGTGTTGGAATCCCACATGGTTGACTGCAGTTCAAGTCCCAGACCTGGAAGCTCACTTTCTCACTTCCTCTCTTTCTCTCTCTCTTCCTCTCATCAAATTTAAGTAATAATAATAATGAATAAAATAAAATAATTATTAAAAAAATAAAGTGAATTACAGACTTGCAGACCCCCATCACACAGAAACACCCCCCGACACACGCACACGCATACACATAGTACTTATGATCTTTACACTCCAGTATAGTTTTCCTAATATACTTCTAAATTCTCGTAGTTAAAGGCAATTATTCTATTGATCAGATACAACTATTTCATTTAATCATTGTTATCAGAATGTCTTTTAGTACTTTAATCTAGTTTATATGATATTTGGGTTTTGTTATGTTCATGATTTGACTGACGTTACTTTACTTTTTATTTGGCCAACAGATTATTGTCTGGGGAGATTATGGCCGCATGGATCACAAATCCTTTATGGGAGTGGCCCAGATACTTCTAGATGAACTGGAACTATCCAATATGGTGATTGGATGGTTCAAACTTTTCCCCCCTTCCTCCCTAGTAGATCCAACCTTGGCCCCTCTGACAAGAAGAGCTTCCCAATCATCCCTGGAAAGTTCAACTGGACCTTCTTACTCTCGTTCATAGCAGCTGTAAAACTGTTGTCACAGCAACCAGCGTTACAAAAAAAATTACCACAGGTCGCAAACCCTGGTAACACTGCATGCTTAATGTTGTGTCTTCTGAGCCTGTTTCTAGGGATACAAAGCGATCCTGTGTTCTCAGAGGAAGTTGCACACATTGTGCGCTAAAGAAGGCCCTCAGGTGAAAGCGCAGAGCTATGAAGAACTATCAGGTTTGGAGTTCAGTGACACTCGAGTTTTGGTCCAATTTGAAGCCATGGATTAATCTCAAAGAATCAGTTGGTTTCATGCAACAAAAGCCCTTTTCAATGGCACCTTTATATTTTTATCGTTCCTTTTTCTTCATTTATCTGATCCCAAAGCCCTGTTTTGCCACAGAAATGGAAGCTATACAGCCATTAAGCCATGTTACAGGTGACAGAGTGAAGTCCCAGGAAGCATCAGGTGAAATGCAGAGACCAAAGAACTGGTTGAGAACAAAGCTTCCGCCCTCCCGTGTCGGAGCCTCCTGTCCGCGGGAAGAATGACAGACCTGGTGGCTCCAGTAGACGCGTCTAGTACTGATGCCAAGATGTACTGGACTCTGAAAGCAAAATTCTGTGGCTACACTGTACTGAATGAAATTAAAGAAACTTTTTTTGCATGGACACAGATTAGCTGAATACTTAAATTATTTTCTTGGGGCTGCAACTTGCAAAAAAAAAAAAAGAATAAAAATCAGCCATTTTCAACAATTTATATTATTTTTAAAAATAAATTTCACTAGTGCATGGTTTTAAAAAGGGGAGAGAATGCAACAGGGTGATACAAAGACACACCATGTTTATTCTTTAATCATAGTCTGTGTTTTGGCAGACACTACAAATGAAAATACTTTCTAGAAGATACTTAAATTCTCTTTATGTGACAAATAAGTATAATATATTCAATTATTTCCATGTTAAATATACAAATCTTATGATGTTCAATATGTGCAAATTTTTTCACATCTTCTTCTCTATCTCACTTTTTCTCTTCTCCCTCTTTTAATCTTTTGTTTTCTTTCTCTCTACCAGAGTGAACCTTATACAATAAAAAAATAACAAGTTTTTGATCCAATCCTCTCTTTTACCCCATGTTTGATTCAGAGCTGTAGATGCTTCTGAATTTATGAATTTCTCAAGGGGAAAAAAAACAATTATTAAAGAGCTTTGTTTATTTCAAGCATGTTGAAAAGGATTTTGCAACATGACTTGGGAGTACATTAAAGTAAGTCAGCATGTATTTGACAAAGAAGATATTTGAACTTTTGCAATTTATTGTACAGTGCATGGTTTTTTTGTTTGTTGTTTTTTTTCACCTTCAAAATTCAGTTTACAGGAAAATCCTAAAATCATGTGGCCATTGTAATGTGTAATATATTTGTTTTAGCACCAGCATTATTCATACAGGGGTTAAAATATTATTTGTAGAAGGTCTTAGGTTTTGTTTGTTTTTTAATTAAAGCAATTTCTTTAGCCAATTTCCATTTACTATGTGAATAGAAACACTGCTAAAAATTGGGAGTCCTGAAACACTGGACGATTTATTAATTCATTTTTCTGTAGTAAAATTCAATTTTTCACAAATTATATTTCTAAAGAAATATAGTGAACATCAATTTGCAACAAACAATTTTAAATCTCCAATTTTTAGGTGACTCAAAGAAAATCAATATGCCTATTAATAGTTCTTTGATGCCATCACCAAAATCCTACATGAAAAATCCCCAAAAGTCAAAACCCCTGTCATTGGTTTTACCAACCGTTATTACCATTGGGTGGTGCTGCAAGGTCAAATTTCTCTTAAGTTCCCCTAGTTAGAGGAAAAGTCACTGGTTAATGTAATAAACCACCCATATTTTCTGGTTCTTTATGTATACTTTCACAACACATTCTTAGATATTTTACTTCTTGCAATAACTTTTGAAATCCACATACATCCCCATTTGTTTAAACTAAGGCCATGCACAAATAATGTTTTCTTTCTTTCTTTCTTTCTTTCTTTCTTTCTTTCTTTCTTTCTTTCTTTTTTTTTGGTTTGGTTTTTTAATTCAGTGCTGACCGGTAAAAACTATTATGCTTGATATGGTGCAAAAGTTGAAAATGAGTATCACTAAAAATGCCTTCTCTTTATGTGGTGCAATATGAAATACACCAAGACTGTGTCTTGACATTCTGAGATCTCTGATGGACCCAGGTAGAGCTGTTATAAGGATGAGTAAAACTTCATTGAAATAATTTAGACACCTGTATACCAGCAACAATCGAGTCAATAGACCTATCACGTCTATACTGTCCCTTAGAATAAACGTTTACCATTTTCCCAATACCAAAATGCAGTCACATAATCTTTTGTGCATATTCCTATACAAATTATTTCTAATTTTAATAAGAAGGACATGACTGTACGGAATATTTGTACATACTTGTCATTATGCAGTATTTATTTAAAAGTTGGTGTTTTTTTTTGTTTGTTTTTTAATTTTCACACGTCTGCACCTCGACTTGTGGTTTAGTCATGTAAATAGCACCCTGCCAGTGACCACTGCTGCCCTGGACCTAGTATGTTTTCAAAGTAAAGGGAATTCCAGTTGGGGGAAAAAAAAGGGCAGATTAGTCCTGTAACAAACACCAACTAATGTAAATCAAATTCATTCTGGTGATGGTATTTAACACTTTAAATAAAACATTTTCTTTACAGACGTTGTATGCAGTGCTTCTCTGTCTTCTCTTCTCCCCACACTTCCCCAAGCCCCTGCAGCTCATTTCTTGAAGACACAAACCATTTGAAAACAATGAACTCCTCTTTTCCTTTTTCTCAATAACAGAAGTGGACTGCTGGTCTTAGCACATGGCCCTCAGTAGACCATTTCTCTAAAGCGTTAATGGATTTCTTCTCACATTATTGCAAGTTGCTGTTTTGTTTTTTTGTTTTTTTTTAAGATGTTATTTTAGACTGAGGTGTTTTCTGATTGAATGACTCAGCAACTCACAGGTTTTAAGAGTGAAAAGAGTGAGATTTCTGAGTTAGTCATGGCTGACATGGACAGCAGAGTCCAAAAGAATCTGCATTTTCATTTAGGGAGATCCATGTGTTAACCTGATATGAAACAACCCAGCCAGAGTCTGCTGCTCCTCTGATGATGCATGGGTGGGAGAGTTCCCCATACCCTCAAACTGAGAGAAAGTGGATCCCAGCAGTTTCACTGGGAGTCCTCCTTAAGTTCCAAATTTAAGAGCTAGTTTGGATTCACACTTAGTCATCAATCTGAAATCTAAACATGGTTTTCTTTCCATTCTTAAAAACAATTGTTTCCTCCATTTCCAAGGACCCAATTCTAGTCCAATCCCCCACATCTACCCATGGTATTTTTCGTTATTCAATATATATACCCCTTGCTTTAGTGAGTGATCTCTCTCTTTTTTTTTTTTTTGGAGAGGTTTTTGCTATAGGGCATGTGTCCTTGCCAGAAAGACAGAGAGAAACAGAGACAGAAAGTGAGAAATCACCCCCAGGTGGGATGGCCACACCACAATCCCTTCTCCTCCATTCTCCTCTTGGAATCTTGGGCACACATGCACACATGCCCAGCATGAGTTTAAGCCACCGGGTCTGGGACTTGAACTGCAGTCGACTACATGGGAGTCCAGCGACATAGCCATTACGCCAACTGCTGGTCCTGTGAGCTCTCTCTTTATTGTTCATATACTCCGGTTGTAAATCCCCCCCCCCCTTGCTTTTCTAATATGCTCTCACTTGAAAAGCCCTTCTTCATTCTCAGACATGATCCATATTAGGTCCTTCTTAAAACTCCCAGCTCAGAGACCAGCAGATTGCATAATGGTTATGTTGCTGGACTCCCACATAGTTGACCATGGTTCGAGCCCCAGACCCAGCGACTTAAAACTCACATGGGATGCGTGTGTGTGTGTGTGTGTGTGTGTGTGTGCCAAAAATCCTGAGAGGAGAATGGAAAAGGGAATTGTGGTATGGCCATAACCCCTGAGGGGTGATTTCTCGCTTTCTGTCTCTCTCTCTCTCCAGCAAGCACACATGCCCTATAGCAAAAATCTCTCAAAAAAAATAAGTAACGGTTTCTGAGTAAATCCTCACAACATGACTGCACTGAGACTAGTGCCTTCACTTTCTTAGGGGCTCCAGCTGCCAAGACCCCACCAGCAGCAATAAAGGATGTCATGATTTTTTTAAAGAATTATTATTTTTTAACTTAATTTTATTTATTTATTTTAATTTGACCAGAAATGGACAGAGTGAGAGAAAGTGAGAAAGCAAGCCTCCAAGTCCAGGACTCAAACCGCCATTGGCCATGTGGGAGTCCAGCGCCCTTAACCACCATGCCACCTGCTGGTCCCGTCATGGTCATTTTTATAGGGACTGTGACAGAATTGGGCAAAGAAGCTGCAGAGCTGTCTGCCTATTCCTGACACTATGCATAAGAAGCATGCGCTGTCTCTACTCCACTCACTCAGCTCGGGCTGCCCTCCCTGTCCTGCAGGAATTCATGGGCAGAATAACAGAAGTTCACCTCCCACCTGTGGTTTGTAAACTGTGTACTGAAAAAGTAGTATGCAGGGGGAAATGTGTTAAATACATGAACAAACAAATCTGTGTAGTCATTTTGCTAAGTGGCTTGACTCAGGTCACTTAATCCCTTGGGAAACAAGAAGTTTGAACTATTGGGTTGTCAGAAAAGTCATGCTGTATTTTTTCTGTTTTTCTATGCAAAAATGCATCATGACTTTTCCAACTCAATAGATATTCTTCTAACTTTAAATCAACACTTTGTCCTCAAGGGCAGGAACCATGTCTTATTTTTCTCTTTTATTTTTGTCCTCAGTGCCAAAAACAATGCTTAACACACACATCCTCAGTGAATATCCGTTGAATGAATGTTTATTTACTTCCTGCTATTTGGGGGGCACTATTCCCATATGTCAATGTCCTCGTAGTGTTTTCATTCTGCTAAAGAAGACACATTAGGTAAAAAAACAGTAAGTGCGGAGCAGCAGGTGACATGGAGTTTAAGGCAGCTGGATTCCACGTGACTGACTGCATGGTTTAAGTCCTGGGGCTGGCAGCTTGGAAAACATGCTGGGCACACATGTGCATACCCAAGATTCCGAGAAGAGAGTGGGGATTGCGGTGTGGCCATACCCGCTGGGGAGTGATTTCTCGCTTTCTGTCTCTCTGTGTCTCTCTGGCAAGTGCACACACCCTATAACAAGAATCTCTCCCCTTCCCCTCCCAAAAAAAAGAAGAAAGAAGAAAGAAACTCAGTATGACACAAGATGTGAGGCTCGTGTAACTGTTGTTTATGGGTAGAATGCGTACACTTTAACAATGGAAAGTCTAGTACAGTACATACCTAATCCAGTTACACCATATATTATCACCATCGAGAAGTACGGACTCTGCATAATTGCATGTGCTCTATTTCTGTGCCTGCTAGCACAAGAGGTGTTTACACAGCCGTCACAAACATGTAACGCATGGCTATGGCGTTACGACAGCTACCAAGTCACTGAGTGATAGGGATTTTCAGGATCCAGCATTACCTTGTGGATGGATCCACAGTTTATGTGGTCCGTTGTTGATCAAAAGGTGTTACAGGACACCTGATGAATTATACATATATATATTTTTTCTTTTTAGTTCACTATAGGGTGCATGTACTCCCCAGAAAGAGACAGCGGGGTGAGGGGGGGAGAGAGAAAGAGAGAAAGTGAAAAAACACCACCCAGGAGGAGTGGCCATGCTGCAATCCCTTTTCCTCCACTCCCCTCTTGGGATTTTGGACATGCATGCCTATGTGCCTGGTGTGGTTTTCCAGCTACTGGGTTTGGGACTCGAAACAGTCAGCTCTGTGGGACCTCACT